ACGTACCTCGGTTCGTTATCTTAAGTACAACTACGTCGTGTAGTTTTTTTGGGGGTTGGGGGGGGGCTATTTCAAATGTTGAAGAAACTGTGCAGTAAATGTCAATATTAGATAGATCTCATCCAGACTAGATATTTCCAGAATGCAGACTAATTTTTTCCAGAACCCAGAATATTTATCTAGAATATTTTTGCATTAAATTTGCCGTCCTGAAATTGCATTGGATGCCTTTAAGCCACAGCCACACCACAAGGTCTCTTGGAGAATAATTTCCTCTCCGTCCTTACCTCCCCTTCCCCGCATGCGGAGATGAAGTCAGCCAGGGCGGCCTGTCGGAGGGACGCCGGCTTGGCGGGGAGGACCTTAGCGACGTCATCGTCGGAGCTGACCCGCTTGATGGCGGGCGGGGGCTGCATCAGGGCCCAGGGCGCGTTCGGGATAAAGGAGTACACGTCTCTCTGGCCGTTAGCGTGGGCTGCACGCTGGGGAAAAGGAAGCAAAAGGTATATCAAGCAAGAGTGGGGTCGTGTGGCATAACAGGTACCGGTAGAGTGTTCGGCTCAGACCCAAGAGGTGCCGGGTTCGAATCGTGCCCAATGCCACTGATCTTGTGCCTTTGGGAAAGGCACTTTACACAACCTTCCTCACACTACCCAGGTGTAAAATAGGTACCTGAGTTCTGATAGGGAGGAAAAAGGCAGTGGAAGGAGAGGGGGGTGCTCCGCCTTCTGATACTGCGCCCTAGACACAGTGATTTAAGAACCTACTGCCCCTACGGGACTACCTTTACCTTTATCAATCATCATGATATTGCAAAAATGAAATCGGATATCCTTGAATAATTTTATCCGTGAATTATTTAATTATAAGGTTGGTGAGGCTACGTCAACATCGTTTATCTTTCCGAGTAACCAAGTGTCATCGCACTACAGGTCGATGACCCTTACCTGAGTGGTGGCTGTGAAGATGATGATGGTGACGAGTTCGCAGAGGTCCCCTAGCGACGTGAGCATGCGCGGCACGCCGCGGTCGATGTTGTCCTCCCAGTTGAAGCCGTTGTCGTGAGAGTCACAGATCCACAACTGGACCTGTGGTAAACAACATCTTATTTTCAGTCAGTTGCCTTAAGTCAATAATACAACTACTTTGTTTACTCATCATCCTAGCCTCCTGTGCAGACTTCTAGCGGGGCAGAAGTCTTTTTACAAGTGGCTAGAGCGGCGGTTTCTTTTCGGGGGAGGATCTTGTTTCGGGAGATAGCTAGAGCTGTATCCGCGAAGAGAGTTATGTCGCCTTCTCTTGTTGGAGAGGGGTAACTCATTCTGGCGCATAGAGAACCTTATCTATAGGTTGTTTAAAAACGCGTATCAGTGCTCCCCCTTCCCCACAAGAATAAACCCCTCCAAAAAGTTTGCAAAGACTGCTCCATGAACCCGAAAAGCTTACAAATCTGGTTTAAAGTTTAAGCTCTTTATGAACCCAAGTATGTACCTCCTCGTCCTCCCTGACGGCCTCGTCGTCCCTGTAGTACAGCGCCAGCATGTCGGTGACGTACTTCTCCGTGGCGCGCCACAGCTTCAGCCCGTCGTCCCGGTAGTAGTACCCGGGCAGCTTCATGGCGTCGTCCGTGCCCTGCTCAGCCAGGTTGGCCGGCAGGTTCAGAGACTGCAGGTGGAACGTCTTGAAGGCCTTCGCCATCATCTGAAGACGGGAACGGCCGGCCAGGGAGGAGCATTTGTCCAGAGGGCTTCCTTCTGCAATGATGCTGAAAAAAACAAACAAATGGGCCAATTAAAATTTATGTTGGCAACTTATAAAGCTATTTGTACATGTGTATGTACTATGTACTGCAGGGATATGCTTCAATTGTTCAGTGACAGGAAACTTTGAACACCGTGTTCTTGGCATTAAACGCCTTCGGACAGTTTTCTATCCATTCTTGTGCTTCTTGCTATTAGTAGAGCTGAGTTTCGTCCCAAAGATAACCCTTAAATGATATGGTAGTTTCCCTGTCCTTGGTGCTGAAAAGACGTTGGCACTTGAATGTTGCGTACCCTCCCTCCTATCTTCCCGTGTCTTATGGGCAGTTATTATGTTACTCACCGTTCCCGGAGGATCGTGTTGAACGCCGCAGTCGTCCGCAGATGCGGGATGAGGAGCTTGTGTACAGGGTGGCATGCCGGCAGGTTCCGGTAGGCGGCGACGGCGAACGGCTCCAGGACCAGGTGTGTCTTCAGGATGTGACCCTGCAGCTGCTGCACCAAGGCGTCCGCGTTACGCAGGAAGATCTTGGCCAGTAACCAGTCGCTTTCCGAGTCCTGAAGGAAAGAGTACACAACACTATATGCAAGATGGCATCAAGACAACAATGCGGAATTGTCTTTTCCCCAGTCAAGAAAACCACCATTCTCTTAACGAAAATCTACAATGCAGAAAAAGTGGGATCTTTCTTCTTCCTCTGTCTCTGAACATATCGCTACCACTGTATTTTATCCTGTGTTAAATGTTCTCTTGTACCTGCAATTAGGGGTTTCAGTAAACAATCATTATCAAATGACGTTTCCAATGCCAAGAAACCTTTGACACCAACAGCTGGGGTCTGTGATACGGCATGACTTAAAGCTTAGTGTGTTTTAAGTGTCTAAATGACCAGAAATTTCGCATATCTTAATCTACGTACGCTGGGGGTCCATATGGGGTTCTCCGGCCCCGGCGCCTGGTACAGCTGGATGGCGATGGGCAGGAAATCTCCCGCGGAGTTGACGTAGAACAGCGCGAGCGGTGACGTCGTGAAGTACGGCACGTTGTTGACGTTGTTGGCGATGACGCCGTCCAAGATGGCGTAGTCGGCCAGGTACACATTTCCTGCCTGGAGGGAGAAATAAAAACTTTCGGGCTCAAGCTGATTTTTCATCACCCTATTGGCTATTCGAGAAGAAAGCTTAGAAATGCATTATGTTGTGCTATGCATTGTGACAATGAATATTTGGTACATATTAAAAACAATTTACTTTTGCCCATATACTTTGAGGGCACAGCAGAAGAATTTTAACACAAATGAAGATGAATATCATAATCTCCACTGGACTTAATTCTAAACATGCTTGGGAGAATGGGACCAGCATGGTTTCCAGAGCCATTCTAACTTTTCAACAACAACAAAACGTTTAACAGGAAAAAACAACTTACCACCACAGCTTGCCTCAGTGTCTTCCCAACGTCCATAGACCGCCTGACGGCCTCCTCTGGGACCGGGAAGTACGGCGGTACCTTGTCGCACCTCTGCAGCACGGACGGGTGCACGCCCTGCAGGAACTGTCTGCCGAACTCCGCGTCGCTCGCCCAGTCCTCGATACACGCCGGCGTGGTGGGGCACACCGTGTTCATGATCCGCTCGTAGTCCTCGATCCCCTTCCATCTGCTTGGTGGAGAGGGCAACGCGCGTTGGAATATGCGGAGGTTGTTCCACCATTCGCCCATGCTGTGTTATTGAGGGTAGGGGTGCATCGCAAATAAAGCGCAAAAAGCCATGCATTGTGCAACAGAATTAGTGTAAAGCAACTACCATTGATATCTTTTATCGTAAAAAATTGTGCATATTTAAAGAAATAGTCCATGTCGACTAGGCAAGCTGCAAAGCAAGTAAAAGTTGTGCATAATTGCAGATTAAAAAAGATATTCCATGGAGACTAGGCAAGCGGTTCCATCGTCAGTCTTAACTCTCTCTTGACCTTTTACCCCACATAAGTCCTTAAAATTTTGTCGTGATAAAGGTAAGATAGTGAATCTTTTAGCCCCCAAAGGGCCATGGCAATTGTCGTAAAGATAGCAAACGGGAGTTGTGCCACGTAGGGTATTGTCAGCTGTGTTGTGTGTTCACTGGCCATGTATTGTACAGGTAAACTCACCCTCGCAGCTTCTCCGCCAGAGTTGCCATCCCCATTCGCTCCACCATATCTGGGAAGTCCCCCTTCTCGATCTTGTCCAGTTTCCGGGTCAAGTCTCGGATCTTCTCGGTGCCGATCTGCAGGTCCTTCGGCAGGTCCTCGTGTTTCTCCGCCTTGATGTATCCCGGCAGACCCAGCAGGTCGTGCTTCCACTTGATGGTCTGACGGCGCTGCTGAGTCTCCATGTCCCGCTGGGCGCTCAGAACCTCCGTGTCGAAGTCAGGCAGGGACGCTGCAAGCAAACACGCAAAGTTTTGAGTCCCTATGCACAACTTTAAGGCATTGTCACACATTTAAGACATTCTAACCATTTTGAAACGTTCGGCTGTCGCAGTCGAAGAGTAGCTGATTTCGTCGTACACCAGCCAACCACAGTCAACCTTGCTCCTTACTCCTAAGTTCTAACCATGCATATGGTTGGGGAAAGTCTGGCAGTGTTCGAGAGGCTATATTTGAATATATGTGGCAGCTTGCAGGGGCTTTACAGAACCTTTACCGAGCCAAAAATTTATAAAACTAGATGAAGAGAGCGAATGATGATGACTCATTAGTGAACCAATTTGACGGTTTCCCTGTCCTTGGTGCTGAAAAGTCAACTAAATCACCTGCTTCCCCCCTGTCCTGTAAATGTCGATCAATCCAGAAAAATCACACTGTTCCTCACCTCGTCCCTGCCTGAGCGTGACCTTGTCTTGTACCCAGTTATGACAGGGGAACTCGTACCGCCGGCCCCGCCTCCTGTCAGTCACAACCACGTTCTCAAGGTACCATGGCGACCGCAAGGTCCCGGATGGACTCTCCAGGGTCAGCATCAGCACCTAATGGGGCGTTACGTGAGTTTAGATTACTAAACAGGGGAAACACAAATTTATATTGTACTTTTCATTAGATAACTTTTTATTGCTTATTGGGGCAATATAATCATAGTTATCCGACAATTCGCCCAAGGTAACGAAACTAAATCACCATCATGCATGCTTGCCGCATATATCAGTATGTACTAAGGCTGGCCATCAATTTTCTCCCTTGTCTCTTTCTGCCGGAAGCCGTCTCTGCCCAAAACTATCCATACACGTATTTCTTCCATGGGAAGATGTGAATCATACACGAATCCTTAACGAAAACGTCGACTAAATTTCTTTCTCACCTCTCCGACGTCTCCTCCCTCGATCTCGAAGTTGGCGTCCTTGCCTGGCTGGAAGGACGTCTGGTTGAGGCGGATGGGTCCTGTCCGCCGGTGTGGTCCCGTCAGGCTGGCGGCGATCGTCCCGCTGGTTCCCGCGTCCTTAGCCTTACCCGTCCGCACCTGGACTGTGTACGTCTGGGGGAAGGGCGACGGTAAGATGACTTATAGCCTGTGGCCATTCTAGGCCATAATCTACATAATATTAATGCTTAGGACACATTTCTAAACCGGGTCCCGACCCAGTCTTTGTCAAGGAATGAGCAATCGACCACTTCTGTAATTTCGAGTTATACAGATGACATGCGTTACTCTGTGAGCAGTGGATCATCGGTTGCAGAAAGCCCGTGGCGCCACCCGTCTTTATTTAGGGATACTCAATCCTTGACAAAGATTGGAGTTGCACGGTCGAAAATTTTGTTACATCCAATTTCTTGTGTCAGAAAATTCCAGTCCTATCTGACTTTTCAGGTAGTTCGTGGTTATAAAACTGTTAAAATCTTATGAGTGTCACTGACGAAAGGTAGTGGATTGCTACCTGAAACGCCTGAACGTTTCCAAAATCATATCCAGTTCCTTGAGTAACTTATTGTTGTTAACATATTGCTAAACATTACCTGTTTGCGTCCCTCCAGCGCCTCCTGGTTGGGCGCGCGGATCCTGACGGCGGTGTTGGAGGCGGGGACGGCGCGGGACAGGATGTGCGGCACGCTGTTGTAGTCCTGCACGGTCTTCGGCACCACCAGCCCCAGGCTGTCCGGCTGGTTCCCCAGCGCGAAGCTCGTCTTCTCCGTCACGTGGTCAGGCAGCAGCGTCGTTACAGCAACGTCGGCCAGGTCTTTCCACGGGTGATTCTGTCGATGGAACAACGCCAACGTTATTATGTACTAACTCATATATCGAAGACTCAAAATGTTACATTTGCAAAGCTAATGCATAACGTTACCTTCACATGGTCTATCCTAACGTATAACAAACTACTGCATTCATGTAAATTTGTACTAGTATATGGTGGCCAGCCCCTCCAACTCCGTCCAGCTACATAATGTAACCCACCAGTACAGGGTGTCTGCTACAGCTCCAGTTACCATAGTGACAGACGTCTGGTCCAGGTGATTAACCCTATGTGTTTGGAGAAGATGAGGAAAGAAACCGAACAAAGGCAATTTCGCAGAAGGAAATCATTAAGAGTACCTGCGGGTCCCAGACCCTAGAGGCGTTGAAGATTTCCTCGGAGTCTCCTTGGCGGAACTTGTGCAGCTGGATCTGCAGTTTGTAGTTGATCGGTCCCTTCTTCAGCCGCTCGGCAAACTCCTGCCGGAGGTAGTTCTGCGCACGCTCCTCGTCTGGCAGGCGCTTGGGGTCCCTGGGAAAAGAAACGAAAGATGTGAGGCAAGAATTTTACCCCAGAGCCAAAAAATTCAATTTTAACAGTTAACCATGAAACAAACCTTAACTGTGCAAACTGTAGAAAGAAGTGATGAAGATAGCAAACTTCATAACAGGTAGTTTATTCAGAATCACATTATAATTGTATATCTTACTTCACAGGAATATTTAGCTGGCCTGAGTGCCATCCGATCTGTAACGGCAACAAATCCGATGACACGCAGGCTATATTTTAGCCAACTGAATATACTTGGAAGCCGATAGGACTAGGGGCTTCTCTCTATACCAATAAAACACAGAGACTGGGACCCGAGGGCTTAAGAGTGAAGTTCTCCCACCATGTTTCAACCATGCAGATTCGGAACCCGATCATATTTTTCAACGTGGTACCTCAACATATCCTTAGTTTCTCACATTTCCTACGTACCAGATTGATCTCTGGTCCTCGTGGCTCAGCAGTCCCGACTCAATAGCGTCATCTAGCGGCAGCATGCGGTACTTCACGTAGCGCAGGACGCCGTCCTTGCCGCGGAACTGGAAGATGTGCTGGGAGTAGTAGTGCAGGGTAGAGTAGGACCGGGGAGCGCGACGGCAACCGTCAACATACGCGTAGTAGCTGGAACGGGAACAGAACTATTGAATAAATGCCCTGACCTCATATGCAAGGCTTGTACCATTACTTTCTGTATCTGTATATAGCTGGTATAACCGCCCTTCGGCGTTTCGCACCGGATTAACAGTCACCTCTAGCCACCTTCTGCACAATTTCAACTTCGTGTGGCCTAACGGTAAAGGCAGAGCGCTCGGCTTAGAACCAAGAGTACCTGGGTTCGAATCCTGACATATCCGCATGCCACCGATCTTGTGCCCTTGGGAAAGGAGGCACTTAACACGACTTTTGTCACTTGAAAATGAGTATTGTCTATTGTCCTATGCATTGGTGGTGGCATAGAAAATAAGTTGAAATGTGTTAGATGTTGGAATTAAAAAAAACTAGGATTAGAATCGAATGATCTGACGTACTTCTGCGGGAAGTTGTAGAGCCAGGCCCTTGTCTTCTCGGCGGACCCCCGGGAGTTGAGGTACTCCTCGAAGCTGGAGATGTTCCAGTAGGGCGCCATGGCTCCCGTCGCCATCAGCAGGTCAAACGGCCCCTCCACGTCCACGTCATCAAACTTCAGCGCGGCGCCCCGGATGTCGATACTGGCGTCGTCAACCTGTCATTGTCAGTTTGCAAAAATGGTTTGTATGAAAAATAACGGCAAATAAACATCAAAATATAAATAACTATTAAACATAACCAGCAAGAGTAATGCATCATTATCAGTTATCAGCGCCACGGATGTCGATACTGGCGTCGTACCTACCAGCGAGGGTTACGTGTTATTGTTGGTTTTCAAAATGGTTTGTATTGAAAATAGGTACAAGTATGCTGCTATTAAGCATAACTAGCGAGGGATAAAGAGCTCTAGACCAAAAGGTTTATTCAGCCGACGTTTAAAACGAGTCTCTTTATTCGGTGAATTGTTTCCAACCCGATGAAACTATTCACGGTGTGGAAACGGCAATCAAACATACTAGCCAGCGAGTGTTGCGTATCATTGTCAGTTTTAAAAACAAATTTGTATCGAAAACATGGACTCTAAGTATTGGAAACAATTTTTTCTCCACAAGATGTACACATGCAATACACAAAGACTGGTGTAAAGTGTTACAGTCGAAAAGTTTGGTAGGTCCAATTTCTTGTGTTGGAAATTACAGGTATGATTCTGACGCATCTGAATCTACCCCATTCCTGTTCTGTGCTGTGCTGTTATTAAAGGAAAAACTGACCTGGTTGAAGTTAGAGTGCCGGATACGGATGGGGAAGACTCGCCCCGGCTTGAAGAACTCGTGTTCGGGGAAGGTCGGCTCGCTCACGACGGTCGCGTTACCCACCGCGCCCACCCCCACGGCGTGGAATGGACGCTTCCCCGTTGCCAGGGACGACGAGGAGAACACCAGCCGCAGCTTGTCGACCTTGGAGTTGAGGCTGACCTTGCTGAACAGACCGGGGTCTGGCTGGGGCTGGAACAGGACATGTCGTTTTATGTGTTATGGAACTGTTAGAGTTTCAATGCCTAGCCAAAAACGCTGCGTGGCATCATAGAGTTGACTTTAAAGTTATGGTATCTTTAGATCGAATCGGATCGGTGTAGATTTGGAGGAAAAACAACTTTGTTCTCGTATCCTTAAGAATCATTCTTATATTATATGATATACATACATACAGTACCGAACTGCGCAGCAGTATATACTGGTCGGACAGGTTGTCACGGCCCCATAGGTGTAAGGATCGTTGCCTGTTGATACCTAAGACCCGAGGCGCTAAGATAAGTATATCATGGCGAATCTTTGTTCTCTCACAAAGCCCTACCCTAAGTCTAAGGTCAGACAGGTCACATACACCCGTGTCATGCACCGGTCTTTAGACAGCAGCTTCTTTGTCGTGAACTGCCGGTGTCAGATCAAGTTCCGAGAAACCCCCTTAGTCATACACGTCATTCTTTGAAAAGCTAATTCTCAATCGTAGCTTTGACTGACATTTTGGATTGTAAACTGTTTCTTCTGTTAAGAATCAGACTTACAAACGAGACCAAAATACATTTCGTGAATAATTTCAACAGGTTGTTGAAAGATTGAATAGCAAAGTTCTTTGTTCACAACCACCTGTATAACAAGAGCCGACCAATGGTTTCGGCTCTTCGAGACCAAAATATATTATTTTCTTTTTAATGCATAATAAGTGCAGAAGAGCATGAGTTGACTGACCGTGAACTGTTCTGCCAGTTTCTGCCTGAACTCCTCCTGTCCCACCTCCTGTTTGTAGATGCGGTAGGCGTAGTTGATCCCTGTGAATTAAATTCAAATACACTGTTTAGAGTCTTGTACCTGTAACGTTACTTGTAACTTTTCCCATATATAATTTAAGCAAAATACATACAGCAATACATATGTATATCATTACATATGTAATGGTATGTTGCTTTATGTTGAGAAACTGTGCTAGGCCTAGGTGACTTATTTTCGTCCTGTTTAGTGCTTCTCCCTCTAGCTGTTAATTGAGATACCTAACTATATTTTGCAGTGGATACATTTCTTGACATAGTGGCGAAACTGGACCGTAGACGTACTATTTATTATAATAAATTGAGTAACGTTATAACTAAAACTCACATCTGTGCCCCCGTCCCTCTGCCTCCCACTGGGTCGTCATGGTGTCTGGACCTGGGAGAAAAAAATCTTAAGTTTCCAAAAGTTGTCTCCATGGACAGGTGGTTACAAGTACAGGTATAACTTTTACATGTTATTAAGTTTACAAAGATCAGGTGTAATGTGCACGTGCCTCCTTGAATATAAACGTATGTCAGCTCTAGTGTGTGCTCTGAAAGAACGTTAAATACTGGACAGGGTGCGAGTCATGAGATTCAGACGCGGGATTTGAACTCGTAATCTTTAGATTATACTTTTTCAGCTTATGCTTTGTACACAAACCTGTAATCAGTCAGTGAGAGAAGAATTCTCCTTTCTTCTTTCTAACCATTTGATGACAGGAAACAGAAGTGATGATAGGTATAATTATCAATAATTACATAACAAAACAGGGTGGCCATTTTTTGCCTTCTAACTTTATTTTGAGAAGAAGTAGTGATAAATATTTTTCAGTGATTTCTGGGTGACATAAATGTCAACGACATTAACTTATGTGTCATGGAAAACTTGAAATGGCTAACACCCAAACAAAATCAAGTTAATGTCAAAAATACGGCGAAGATGCAGAGTGTGCCATTTCATACAGAGCACAATGTACAGTACACAGTAGCTTTAACATATACTTTCAACGGACATGACAAATACAAACTCTGGCGAAGAAGTGAACAGGGCAAATCTTTATTTTCTTCTGTTTTTGTAGTCTGTTGTGTAATTGTTTTAATCCACGGTAATTAACTCTTTTATACCTGGTTGAGTCGGAAACACAATATATTACTTCTGCTCCTTCAATGACTATGAGATTCGGTATAACATTGTGATCAATCGTAATTTTGAAACATTACATAAGTACTACACTTCATAGCTTGGAGACTTGTGGGAATTTACGTTTGTAACAACACCTATATCTACGTGTTGCTTCAGCTTTTGTGCTAACTTAATGCGTATTGACCGGAATGAAGGCCGCACCCAGGCCCAAAATGTCGTCGGCGTCTGACAATCCAGTCTGATCACAGAAGGCGCGGGAGTGGATCATGTCCAAATTTGGATGACTACGTCACATGTATGATTTATAATTCTTGTGATTTTTTCTCTCTCACAGAATAGAACAGGTTGGGCATCTTCTGACCACCTGCCATTGGGGTTAGTTCGTTCTAGAGCACAAAGAAACTTAAGTGTGGGGAAATATCGCCTGAGGGTCGAACGAAAACATCGGAATGCCCAAACACCGAAGGACATTGTCTGCACACGGGTTAATTCGTGCGAAACTTTCACACGAAACGACTTTTCGCGCCATCGCAAAGATGCCACCCGGACACATAATCACAACTGTCGTCTTTCAGAAAAATTGACAGAAAAAAAAATCTCATTACAGTTACTAAATCGACAAATTACATTGTCTTTGATTGACATGAGTTAGAATGGAGAGTCAATATACTCGGGTATTGGAAGGGGCGTGGCTTAGGACGTTAGAACAATTTTACAAGTTCTATATATTAACAATAAAATGTCGCAAGTGTGTCCAAAACGTCAAGAAAATGCCAAAGTGCCGTACCTACGTGAGTCAGTTGACCAGGTAAGTCCGGAGAGGTGGTAGAGTATTGCTGACCTGACCCAGTACCCAGCGAGGAGACTTGTTTTGACACCTCCAACGTCAGAGGACCAACTGGTTTTTCAACACTCCCACGTCGGACGATACCATTTGCTTTATGGGGGCAGAGACATATTCAAAATCGCTAACAAATGCAGTGTATTAGTACTACAAGAAGTGCTAAATTAATACTACGTTTGTTGCCACGAATAGAAACAAATTTCAAGAAGAAGACATAGAAAATAGTATAGCTTATACAAAATATATATTACATTAGGTTTCCATTAATTTTTAACAAAAGGTTCGAAGTCAAAAGATGATGGATCCTGTTTATTATAAATCAATGTTTCTACATATTTACTACATCTAGACTACACAGATCATAAAAGTCCGTTGTAATATTCAAAATAAAATCAATATTTGTATCCATTGCTGTCAGATATAACATAGCTTACTCAATGAAAATCTGAGCGACATTTTCACAAATGTTATGGAATTCACAACATATATATCAAGCGATTCATCATTTAAGCAAACCGAATAGTATAGCAAGTATAATGTTTAAGAAATCTTAATTATATTGCCTTTGACATCACACACATGTGAGAGAATGGGGTGGGGGGGTAGGTGGGTTGTGGCTATACGGTACATACAAAATGTACAATATTGTAATACAGATAACGGTAGTTACTGCAGTAAATACTATCACAACCAGACAATGGTAGGTATTTCTAACATTACAAGTTGATTCTTAATAGCTTTGAAGGAACAAGATACTAGTACTAAGTACAGTCTTTTATATTGTAGTGCTAAAATCACATCTACTCATGTATAACTTAGAAGTTCCTAGACTATGGATCTGTCTTGATTTGTGAATATAACAACTACTATGATAAAATAATCAACACCATATACAAACAATAACTATTCATAATATTAAAGCTGCTCATATACAAATTTCTCAGTGAACCCAGCATTTCAACACAGTGGTCAAGAAGTACTCTGCCCTTTAAGCTAAACATGTCAATGATATTTTCTATCATACTTGACATGCATGGTTCATATGATATGAGTTTGACTCCAAAATATGTACCACAGATAATTCTTTACCTGTGTAAGAAATAAGTGCATTTGCACTGGGATTGCAGGCATAACCAAGGAGCCAAAATTATGAAGAACCTTTCACACAAAGTCTCAAAATGTGCACCTTTCTCTTTAGATAATATTACATGCAGTGGTCAAATATAGACTTTCATACAATGTCATGCTAACAGAGTCCATACTTACATGTATTGCCACAATAAGGCCATACCAATTTAATTTGTTGGTTCACGGATTTTTTCAGAAAAAATATGAAGCGACAGGGCGAAAAAAAAAAAACAGGTCTAGGCATCCTATTATACTATTTATAGGCTTAAATGCTACAAAATGAGCCATGAAGTCAACACAAAAGGCTGGGTTAAAATTTAAACATTGAATTTTGAACTTTTAATCAAACCACTGCAATGATAGATGGGAAAACTGTAACAAATAGGAAGAAAAGGACTTTCCTCAACTGTTGGGGGGCAAAACATGAGCATTTTTCAGTTGATTCAGGACCAGAATCTAAATTTTTTTTTTTTGCAAATCAGAAAAAAACGAAGAGGCGAATCCGAGAACCAACAAATTAAATTGGTGTGGCCTAAGGACATCTTTGCTGTTACAACCAAGCATGCTACCTATGCATCCTTTTCCCCTATTGAGACATAGTTATAATCCTCAGTCATAATACATGTACATTCTTATGTTTCCCATTCACAAGTCCTTTGCGTTCTGTATTTGCACAACTTGCTATAAACCCCTGTTGGCAAGCTGTAATGCCGATCCTTCAGATAACCTTGTACAGCAGCAGTTTTTCTGTCATTGCCCGTTCAACAGTTAACTTACACTTGGCAAGGAAGACAGCATTGAAAAATGATAAAGAAATTCTTTGACATATAGTAGAGACTCACAGTACAAACAACTTACTAAGACAGTTACAAGTAAAGTTGAAGTGGATACTTCTTACTTAAGCTTGCCATTTTTTGCTTAAGGCTCTTCCACTGAACTGAACATCTGGGAAGACACCGTTCCATGCTATTCTGGACATCTTGTTTTTCAGAAAATACTTCATCTGGTTATGTTTAACTTAACTCTTTCCTTATAGATACATGTATATAGAAGAAGGTATTTTCATACTCTGCCACAAAAGTGCTACAAACTAGGGCTAGCAATGATACAGGACTGATTTCATACATATCTGAAACTATAGTAGTTATTATGATAGTCTTAACTGCTCTAAACATCACGCAAAGGAGACATTACAGCTTAAAACTTTATGTTATGAAAATGCCATGCAACATTGTTCATAACATAATGTACTAGTACCTGCCATAGTGCTAATACAACATCATGTATGTACAATAGTAAGAAATTGGACAAGTGTATGGTATTTCTTAATGCTAAAGTGCAGCTATTTTTTGAAGATGAGTTTTTTTCTTTAAGCAAAAGTCTGGAGTTGGTACATAAAAAGACAGTAAAAAGAGTGTGTTTTACAGATATTCCTGACACTACTGCTACCAGTGTGCTTTCCTATTGCTTGCCACCTTCTTTAGGAAGTGTTTGTGGCTGGCGAAAAGTCGAAGCTCGCTGCCGATGTCCATCCACTTCACGGCGTTGGCATCGTCGCCGGCCTGGAGGTTAAACCGCGCCACGCTGTTCCCGTCTTCGTCATGGAAGTTGACGGCTACGGTCTCCATCCAGGCGTTGTCTGTGTTACGGGGGTCGTCCACGTAGCCTTTATAAACCTGGATGGGAGACATTCTATTAGGCAAACGTGGCTACAACAGATGAAAATCAAGGCATTTACTGTCACTGTGCAAGAAATCAAACCCTGAGACAAGCATGTAAGAATAGTATATATGGACAAGCAGATACCAGCAGTGAGTGTTCTTTGGGTCTATAATTCACCCATATGTGTGTTTATCGACATATTCAACTACTCTTTAGTTGTGAGGGTGGTATAAATGTATATGTATGTAGGATAAAGGCAATCATTTATTCGTGATTAAGGGAAATAGTGTGTTGAATTGTGTTCTCATAAGTGTGTTGGGTGTGCAGACTTTCTATAGGAAAATAAGTTGATATTACCGGTTAATAAAGTGCAGAGATCATGTTTATACATGTTTTACTCTTGTTCTATTGAAAAACATTGTGACAATCAATGTTTGAACTCTGACCTCTTCCCCATGGCTGAACAGCTTGGCTAAGTTGTTCTCTATTTCCTTCTTCTCCTCAGGTGAAGCGAGAAGCGAGTTCATCGTTTCCTCACCAAACTCACGCTTTAACGTCAGCGAAACATTCTCACCCACATCCACCATCCCCTGTGATGTAAACAAACCATCGTATGGCGGTCACGTTTCAGCTTTCAAGGAGATTGGAATATGAATTATTTATTGTGAGGAGACTTTCATATGTCATGTGCATTAAATCTTCCACAAAGAAGATACAAAACTTATACATGATGCTGAAAATTCATAGGAATTTCTCTGCTAGACTAGCAATGTTGTATAGGATTGTTTAGCCATAGCCAAAGTTTTAGGGCTCATGCACTTTGGACCAATGGAGGCTACATGATACTCTTCCAGGTTCAATCAGGTTCAATTAACAGCATTGGCACCAGCAAGCACACTATATTGGAATCTAATTCATTGAGCAACAGCATGTCTTGTAAAATAAAGTATTTAGTATTCGGAGTACACTTAAGATTTCACCGTGGTCAATATATAATTATGGACTGATGGAGGCCATATAATACTCTTTCAGGTTCACATTAACAGCTAATACCTATATGTACATGTATATTGGACTCATTGAAGAACAGCATGGCTTGTGAAGTATTGAGTATTCAGAGTTGTGACTCACCCCAGGTATAGCCCACTCTCCTGTGTCTCCTCTCTTGATAGCCACAAACTGTAGAACAGGGTCACCTGAGGTCGGGTGTTTCTCTACCTGTCCTGAGGAGGAGATCTTCCACCTGGGAACAGGACAGGAGGGGAAAATGTCTGGTTTAGTTCAAATCTTCATGGAAAATCACAATGCTAAGTTTGCACAATTGTGAATGGGAGTTGTATTGAACATATCTCTTGATATTTTGTAGAATACAAAGCCAAACAACGTTGTTTCGTTAACATCTGCAGTTAAAACAGCAATAAAATTGGGAAAAAGATGTCATTTTACAAAGTATGTATACTATGCATACTATCATAGTATAGGATAAAGTGACCACTAGTTTACAAAACACAGTGTAATTCTGCTAAAAGCCTGCTTACAATGTAATCATTGAAAAATAATCTATTGGAAAATGATACCCTCTTCCCAACTTTAGTGCTATTTTATATCATAATAATTATAGTATTTAACAATTGTTAAGTACTATAATACAAACTATAATAGTGCCGACCTTGTGACGATGGGGTCTGCCGCATGGTTTGGTCCCCATTTTCCCAGCAGCCCTCTTCCCGTGAGCCCTGTACGTCCTATAGGGTTCCTGAAATGGGCAACAGAATATCCATTGATTATTCGGCATTGAGAATCTCTTAAAGATACCTATAACATGTAACCTTCAAGTTTTGAGATCCTAAAATGGCATGGAAATGCTTCAATGCTAATAAAATTGAAGACTAAAACAAAGAAAGTTATCACACACTGCATTCAAATTTGAGTCATTAAGATTCTCAGATAACCACCCAAAGACAAATTACTAGTAGCAACCACCCAAGGGACTTGAAGAAATCACCAGTAGTACTGTGGACAGGTGGCCAGTTGGCCACTATTGGCAACAATGGCCAGGTGGTACTTATATGCAAAGGTGGTCACTAGCGCGGGTTTGACTGTACAAATGTATATCATTGGCCAGATGGTCCTTATGTAGAGGTGGTCACTATAGCACAGGTTTGACTATTGTTATTTACCTTGGTAAACCGTTGACTATCTGGTACGGCCCTGTGAAGCTAACCCTGTTTACTTTCCCATCTTCCTGGTTCCACTTGACCGATTGCAGCTTACTGGGAAGAAAAGAGACACATCATTCAGAGTGACATGTCAACAAGAATACAGCGATAGGAATCTGAGGTGAAATGTACTGTAACACTAACAGTAGTTCCATGGGAATATGTTACTCTTCAGACACACTCAACAAACAGTCTCCTGGCCAATTAGTCCTGAATTTTAGTATCCATAACACCTTGGAAAGGCCTGGTATATATAGCTTATGAAATGTACATCATAATGTGGTTATGGTGGTAAAAGGGTACATTTGTACTAGTATGTCTGAGGGAATTTTCAAATTGAATTTTTACAAAAAAACAACTATTCTGGTAGCTATGTAGATCCATAAATGTATTTTTGTAACCCTTTCCTCTCAAATGTTCTTATTTGACTGCAAAATTCAAGCGTAAAGTCACAGTTACAGTTACAGTAACTCTAATACAATGTACCATAATCAGTAATTTACAAATTCAAATACACCACAAGACAAAATCGCCCTACTCTGCCGGAGGTCTGCCCATACTGGTCCCTTGGCGACTGCCGGAGCCGTGTACTCCTCTGGTCTGTAGTCTGGGAAATCTACGTCCCATTTCACCAGCTCATCTGTGAACAGCTGCCGGTTACAGTCGGACCGCGAGTACGGAGAGGACCGAGACTTTGTGTGGACAAACTTCGCACAGTCAGAGGACATGGCACAGCGAGAATATGTAACACTTGCAGAGGCAGAACTGCAACCTTGGCCCATACACCAGGAACCTGTGGCACCTGTGGAAAAAAAAGAGGTTGTTAGAAGACTGAAATTGTTCATTTTCATTAAAGTGTCTATTTTTGTGATTGAACTTTATTGCTCGACAATCGTACATGGTACAATGTATCATTGTATGGCAGTAAAACAAATATACTATATGGTCATGATTGTACACACGCACATGTATGTACATGTAACAACATATATGTGTATGTACTAGTAAGGGTAGGGAGCAACAATTTGAGCTATGCAAGGATGGTACTGTTAATGTGATTCCATACGACTTTCCTGAGAAATCTGAAACCCTTATTAGAAATTGCTTCATGACCAAGAGATGAAACACTACCCCAGTCCCTGTCAGATATCAAAGAACATGGTCGCTTGATCTAACTTTACTTCTAGTCCATTACACCTGGTGCAGTCGGAATCAACAATCAGGAAGTGGCTTTTGAATCGTGACTTGGATAAATACCTGTACTTTGTATAAGTACCAATTACATTAATTATTCACAGACCACTATCAAAATACATGTAACTTAACACTCACTTAACATACAATGGAAGCAGACTTTCCAGTGATAAATTGAATTATCACACACCTCGGTTATACTCACTGACGGTTGTCACACCCATAACATTCAAAAATATGCAAATGAGTATCTCTAAGTCAAGTATGTTGAAAGACCAGTTCAAGCTTTAAGGCAAAACATTGCTACCACTTAACATTTGCAACATGAAGCACTTGCATTATGTAATCAGAAACTATTGTTACATAACTGCAAATATTACTCCAAATTCAAAAAAGGGCCAATGCCAGTAAAAACCTAAGCTGATTTCACCTCTTTAGAAAAATTGATCAACATTAGATTGCGGTACAGGTGTACCTCTTGCATTTAGTGTTCATATTTGCATAACCTGGTTACACCTGTTTACATGATAATCTCAGAGAGACCGATCACAGTCCAATATGTCACCCTGTCCAATATGTCATCCTGTGCTATTGTGTTCAACTGGTTCTGTTAAACCTACTCACGCTCACTTTGTTTAAGTCAACATATTTGAATCAAACATGCTGGCAGACGCTTGATGATAGCATCAAAATTTGACTGAAGAACAAAACATAGCTCAGGACTATGTTTTTAACTGTACACGTATCTCATTGAGACAAAGTACAGTGTACATTGTACCTTTAATGATTTCCAATGGTTTTATCAGATGTAAACAATGACTACATAGTCTGAAGTTCTGTAGCTCTGATACGTTGATACTGTGATGGACACACTACATTGTACGTACCAGGTGTACATTGTTTCCATTATCACATACCGGTATGTGGCCCTTAGGGAAAGGAGTTTTTACCTGCAAAGGATGATTGGTTTCTTGCCATTTTAACTCATTTCTGCCTATTATCCATCTCTATCTTTATTAGATTAGTGAAGATCTCTTGATCAGATTAGCCTCAGCTGCCTCACCACTTTGCCCAAACTGATCCGCAAATTGCTTTCGTGTTTTTTCTCCACACTTGGACAGTTTGAGGTGTACATGAATTTGGAGAAGAGCCTAGGAGTAAAACACTCAAATATTGAACTTGTTCATCCAAGTACAGTAGAGGCATTGTGTGGCGTAATGATAGAGCATTTGGCCCGGAACCCATGGGTCCTAGCCTCCTGGGTTCAATCCCACCTACATGCCCCTACGCTGAGCCCTTAGGAAAGGCACTTAACACAATGTTCTGCCAGCATGCCAGCTATTGCTGACTTCTCGACAAATGGCATTATCAGTAGAAGAAGAAGAAGAAGAGGCATCATCACCAGATAGCTGTATAAAACAACGCTTTAAGTTAGATGTGCAAAGGTGTAACAAGTCGTTTAGTGAATCGATGAAACATAAGTCAGCTGTTGTTGCGCCACATGCCTGCAAAGCGGGACTGTAACAATTACAACGAAGGGTTGTTACACTGGTTATAAAGATACTCAGACTCAGATATTTTCTAACTTATCAAGAAGCATATGGATTATGTATTGAATACGATTGACACGACAATACTTCAAGAAAGAGAAATCAGAACAGTTACATAGAGTAGACTCTAATACAACCTGTGGTTTACGGCTTATTTAACCCAGCACTGAGAGTACCGGTGTAAACATTTAGGTTTGCCCCCCTCCCACTATTGTTGGCAAACACACAGAACGTTGCTAGTGCTTAGCTAGCGTACTCACCTGCTTTCAACCGCCCGAAACCCTTCAAAACTCCGAAAACCTCCGATACAAAAAGCACCAGGTTTCCTGAAGGCATGTAGCAGAAGAAGGAACGACGCTGTCGCGGCCAAAGTTCCTCTTTTCGTAGTAAAACGCGTACAATTAGCGGAAATAGTGATGTTTCACCTGTCAAACCGCGAAATACGGCGAGGTCAAAGGTTGCAGGGCGTAACTTCTTGACGTCATCAGGCTGAAAGTGGCGGGAAATGCAAACTTCTGACGCAATCGGGCAAGGGGAGAGGTTTTGGACTTTGGAATTTGTTTCTTGAACGTAACATGTGACGTGAAAATTAATTGGACTTGTCTGATATTTTGTGATAAGTTTGAAACACATTTTCTTCCATTTCTTTCTTGTCTTCACCTTTATTATAATTTATAACGTTATTTACTGGCACATTATTGCTACATTTGTAACGAGCTGGATAGAAGTGAATGATGATTTTGCCCCGTATTAACAGTTCTTTTTCTAAGTAGGTAATAAAAAAAAAGGAATGGCAATACTATAAAGTGAAGAGTGAGAGTTTTCCGAGATTTCAGGTAGCTAAGACTAGGTTAGCCTCCTTCGCAGTCTTGTTGGGCGTCGGCGTTATTTATTCTCTGAGCGACGCAAGTAATGTGCCCCCGCGGAGGACGATTTGCTGCCGAGGGAGTTTTTGCCACGGAGAGAAGGTTTCGCGCTCAGAGAAAAAATACGCCGACGCCCAACAAGACTGCGAAGGAGGCTAAGACTAAGTAGCAACAATACAATACACTGGCTTAGTAATAGTAATACCCATGCAGCAATAGCTGATATACTGCCATTACTGGGCACCACGTTGAACAAAATATACTACACTAGTCAGACACAACCTTAACGTTACACATATAATATTTTACATGAAATCCCTGAAAGGAGTGTCCCGGGAAGGTCACAGGATTCCATCACCATCACGAGGTTTTGTTTGCACAACAGGTGACGGCCATTGTATTTTCCGGAGGCTGAAGAAGGAGGTTTTCAATATTCTGTCTGAGCTAAGATTGTTGCCATTATTGGCAAAATACATTTATCCCCATATAGAGCTGCTTTCTGAAAAATATATCCATCCGTATCTTTGCATTGAATGATTATGTAACGGGTAAAAGGTGTAATATTTTTCGAGGAAAAGGTAAGAAACGTTGTACTGTAAAACCCCTGGGTGACACGGCTTACTTCCGGGTTTAGAACCCCAGAAGAAAGAGAGTGCCAACATGGCGGACGGCCGAGTATTTGCCAGCAGATCGTACAGGTGGTGTTTGAGTACGACACGCCGAGAATCGTGCACATCAAGAACAAGAAAGTCGGACTCATCAACAGGGTCATACAGCTGGGCATCATCGGGTACATTATCGGGTGAGAAGGACTCGGTTTTTACTCCAGGAAATGGGCCATACTTTCAACTTGTGCGTTGCGGAATTCGTGGAAAAGGGGGGAGGGGCGCGAAAGAATGAGCAAACATATTTATTAAACCAAAGAATAAGTTATGCAGCAAGTTATGATATCTGCAGTGGCTTATATGTTGTCTTCGGTTGCAACATCTAGATGATACACGTAAGTTATGTGATTGAGAAATACATGCATAATCATAATATCATAATCATGCATAATACATATAACGTTACGTCTATCAATTTAGTAAAAATAGTTTTCAAGTATGCTCTCCCAAACTATAAAGCACAGACAATTGTTATATAATTGTACATGGTCAGGGACATATGAACTTGTTCTCAACCTGTAATGATACAGCTAAATGTTATAGAACAGAATGTACATGACTGCATCTTTCACTATATTTGAAATCCAAGTTGTTGAACTTTGACATATATTAACGTCACTAGTCATGGCTGTGGCATATGAAATGATACATGTCCCTTCATAAATAATTTACTAAAGAACTGCAAATGAGCAAAATATGAGCAAGAGTACACTATTCTTTATCATAAATGTGATAAAGTAAATATGTAAAATCTTATGTTTTTTCTTGTTTCAGATGGGTGTTTGTATACAAGAAAGGTTACCAGGACTTTGGGGACATCGTCAGTTCTGTGTCCACCAAACTGAAGGGTGTGGCCTACCCTAACAGGTCTGACATTGGCGACCTCAATCGCGTCTGGGACATCGCTGGACTGGTGGTCCCACCTCAGGTGAGGAAAGCTATACTTGATACATTAATTAACATACTGTATGACATTCTATAGTCTGTGAATAGAGGTAATAGTAAATGTGTACATAAAAGTCTTGGTGAGTAATGAAATGTTTACCCTATCAATCCTCTAGTGAACTGGCATGCTGTGCATGTGAACCATTAATCTGTTGACAGAGTTTGTTGACAAATAGAAATTTCTGTTAAATAAAGTTACTGTTGGAAAATAAGATACTGAGGACTTGGTGTGAATGAGCAACTAACTTTGGAATGAAATTGGATTGTAAGAAAAATGTGACTTGATGCTGAAGACCCTAATGTTCCCCCTTTTTTGTCTTTTTAGCAACGAGATGGTTTCTTCGTAATGACCAACATGATCATCACACCAGACCAGCACACAACAACATGTGCAGAGGTAAAGTTTATATTATGAGCTTGATATGTCACTTTCCAATGTTATACCTTTAATCTTCTTCCTGCTTTAGCATGAATTTTTGACTGCAGTTCTATAGGCCAGGTGATGGTCAAAATTTGTTAACTGTTGTAAAATGCTTGACAATGTGTGTTTCTATGTTAGGCACCGTGGATAGGACACAATGTGTCCTGTACAGATACAGACACAAGAAACTGCCCTGCAGGCCAAGTGGAACTCACTGGAAATGGTATGGTTTGAAGACCACACCTCTAACAAAAATACATTACCCATTTTCCGTTCTAAGGTTTATTACAATGTAAAATTTGACAAATCAGCAAAGTTAACTAGTCATACAGTAGAAAACTAGAAAAATAGTTACTCTTGATTGGGGAAGAGATGCCATCTAGCAGGATAGAGCAGAACTGCATCAATGGATGCTAATGCTTAGTTATAAAAACCAAAAACAGTACATGTCTTGATGACACTACAGAAGTAGTGATTGTCTTTTCTTTGTGTCCCTCCAGGCATGTTTACTGGGAATTGTGCAAACTTCAGCAGTACAGTACAGACCTGTGAGATCCAGGGCTGGTGTCCTGTCGAACAGCAAGACAATCCACCCAGGTGACTTCAAACTTTTACAGTGTGGTCAAGTTTGGCATTAATTTTCCACCATACATATTTAGCATTAATGCCAAGGATATCAGCCATGTATCACATTATAACAAGATGATAAAACAGTATTGTCATAACAAATAAATTGAATTTTCTAGTTAAGAAATATAAGAAAAGAGACTACTGGTATAATACATTTAAGCCAATGGAATGATAATATTGAACAGACTTAAAGCACTTTTATGTTTCCCTTTCAGTCCGGCTGTATTAGAAGATGCCAAAGAGTTCACAGTTCTGCTGAAGAACACCATATCCTTTCCACTGTTTAACTTCACCAAGTGAGTCACCTTAGTTTTCTTCTGTTCATTCTTTACATTAAAAATCTTCAACTAGAATCACAATACATGTACTTACATCTGGTCAGTAAGGAAATGACATAATTGAGAGTGTCTTGATATTCTGTCCTTGAATTGCAGGAGAAACATCTTAGATGACTATGATCCTGACTACCTGAAAAACTGTCGCTTCAACAACAATGATCCAGTGGACAAGTACTGTCCTATCATCAAACTGGACACAATGGTAAAGGAGGCCAACCAGAACTTCACCGCACTGGCTGAACAGGTACTCAAACCATTGTATGGTTGTTCTATGTAAAGTTTAGAAGGATTATAGTCCACAGGGAGTTTTATTTCAAGCAAGCTTACCAACTGATTTACAACTGGTCAATCAAAAAGTACAGTGCCTGAAGAGACCAATCAGCACCAAGGACAGGTCTATAGTAGCCAACCACAGCAAGCTGACTGCCCAATCAGCACCAAGGACAGAGTGTATAGTAGCTAACCACAAGAAGTTGACCATCCAATCCGCACCAAGAACAGGGTCTATAGTGGCCAAATTCAACAGACTGAGCATTCAGCACCAAGGACAGTGGCTGCAGTACCCTAACAGGATAATTAAAAACCTTTGCTGTGAAAACATAATCATTAAACCAAGGCCTCCCCCCCCCCTAAAGTGCCCCATCAGGGGCTATATGGGGGTGTAGCCGGGGCTCATATAACATCTTTGAGCCCCGGCAAAGATGAAGATGAAGATGAAGATTACAGTAGTCAGGTGCATAGAAGTTATACTATACTATAGCACTAAGGATTTTGTGTATTTGGTCACCATCTGTTTTCCCAGGGAGGTATTGTTGGTATCTCCATCACGTGGGACTGTAACCTGGACTACTCTGGTTCACATTGCCTCCCAAAGTATTCCTTCTCACGGTTAGACAAGGCCGACTCTAAAGTGTCGCCGGGATACAACTTCAGGTGGGCTTTGTGGAACGGCTAGCTGAGCATGGCCACTGGGTGGATTTGGTAGCAATTCTGTCTAGCCAAAGTTTCAGTGATCTTGTAGAATGTTGCATGATATTCTGGACAATGATTTAAACCAAACAGGACAGGCAAAGCATTTCAGGTAGCCTGTCTACCTATCTGAAGAATCTATAGAAAAGTGATGTTGAATTGATAAGACCACAAAAAAGTTTAAAATTTTGAACCTGTAAGATTACATTTCTTACAAGCAAGCCTTCCTCATATTTCTTGCCTAAGATTTGGTTAGAGACAAAAGCTACCATTTCCACCAGATGGCACACATTGCTTAGCAATAAGACAAAGTCCAGTTTCACTTGCATCTAGTTTTGTTGAAAATTTGCATTCATTTTGTTGAAAACATCAGAAAAATAACCACAAAACTATAGATTGTTGACTGCCCAACGTTTCATAAAGCAAAATGGAAAGATAAAACAACTTGGTGGTATAGAAGAAATGAGATGCAAGGAAACTGGATTTTGTCATACATTTGTGTCCGAGTGTAACAGTCTGCATCCTTCCACTATCGCTCTTCTATTCTCACCTATTCTGCAGGGTGGAATAATTGGGATCTTCATAGTGTGGGACTGTAACCTGGACCTGCACTCCAACCACTGTCTCCCTCACTACAGCTTCAACAGAATAGACAGAACAGACTCACACTTTTCAGTAGGATACAATTTCAGGTTGTTACAAACTATCATTCACAAAGTCTGATAGCATGAAATGCATGCATAAATCCAAGGGTGTTCCTTTTTGACAATTCTGGCTCTGCGTGAACTAGCTTTTTGTTTTGAAAACAAAATATACATGTGGTTGTTCTGTCTTGGTTGCATTGCAAACTTTCCTTCTGTTTCTGTAGTTTTCTTCAAGATTTTTTTTCTTTCCTTTGCTCAACTCTCTGACTAGATAGACATGGCAATTGTTACATTTCCTTTACATGTAGGAATAAGACATTAGATCATTTCAAACTATCATATAAAGGAGAACTTAATTCACTTTGCTGTTTGCTTTTCTTTTCGTTTTTTTTTTTGCGATTGGCAGTTATGTCCTGAAAAGTAGTTTCATTGTCTTATCTTTTAAAATTAATCTGTTAATATCTAGTTTTGCAGTGTTATTCATTCTCTGTTATTTTCCAGATATGCACGGTACTACCGGGAGAATGGCACAGACTACAGGACACTCATCAAGGCCTATGGCATCAGATTTGATGTTGTTGTTTCAGGGAGGGTATGTTGTCTTTTTCACAAGCTGTAGCTTAAGTAAGTCATCAATGGAAACGATGGACAACCGGAGAGAGAGCTCATCTTAACCCTAGGTCACCTAGTAGCACGTTTTTTCCCTTTTGGTTTATCCTAGTATAATGACTGCAAATTAGGGTTGGGAAGTCCATTAATTTGAGCATTAGGAAGAGGAGACGAATTCATTATTGTTAATTTCTTGCGGAGAACTTTCTTAACCCATGTGTGACTGGCTCATAATGGTCATTTATTGATTAAACCATTATCATTATTTCTCTATCATTGCAACTTAAGTCAATTAGTAACTAATCTATTTTTCTTCACTTAATGAGCTCTAAAAAGGAGACACAGATATCCAATTCCTTGGGACATCAGGGGTCATCTAGGTCTTTCAACCTTATACCAATGGTTACTGGATAAATAAGCAGAAAGAAGCCTAATCCTCCACTTAAGCATTCTGAGATGACTCTGAAACCAGGCCCAATCTCAGCCCATGTTTGTGTCTAGACTCTAGAGTGAACATAGACATCAGGATGACTGTTTGATACCTCATCACTGTGTCTGTCACAGGCGGGTAAGTTTAACATCATCCCCACCACCATGAACATTGGGTCAGGCCTGGCACTGCTGGGAGTGGTAAGCATGCTTCTTATGGTCTCATTCACTCTAAAAAGTATTAGCAAATACTGTAAATCACGACTTTTTCAGCACCAAGGACAGGGTCTATAGTAGCATAGCAGGATAATTCAAAACCTTTGCTGTAAAAGTATAACAGTAGTCAGGCACATAGAAGACATGTATTCTAAATCTAATGATTTTCTACATTAAGACTATACTGCATCTGTCACTTCTGTATTGCAAAAACTTATTATTAAATGAATAATTTACTGAGTTCGTTTTTGCTGCACCTGCCACCACGGTAATGATAGTCACTTGACAAATCATCTTTGGCTTTATGAGCTTAAAGATAATTTTTTCAGAATATCCTTTAAGACTTGAGCCAGAGTACATGTAGTTCTAAGACTAAGTTACGCCAAAAAGCAGTTACTCAAGCAACTAGATATGATTTTGAAAATGTCTAACCTTCATCGACCTAAGACTAAGTTATTGCCTGCTATTTCTTCCCCACAGGCCACCATCCTGTGTGACATTGTTGTTCTGTATCTGCTGAAGAAGAGGTACTTCTACCAGGAGAAAAAGTACATGATGGTGGATGATGATGATGATCTAAGGGTAAGTTCCTTTCTTCTATTTCCTCTGAAACTTAAAGTACAAGCAACAAAAAAAGGTAGTGTCGGATATAATACACTTAAATCTTTTTTTTTTATTAAGAAAGTTTGTGTCAGGCTGTGGTGTGTAATATATTAGTCGGGATATACCATTGAATACTAATTGTTATGGAATGTATGTCTCTTTACTGATGCATTGGTTATTCCATAAAGCACATAAAGATTATGATAGTAGTAGTGGGTGGTTTGTTGAGACTAGATGAGCCTTTGTGGCATTTTAGAGCGTTATATGTGCCATTTTAGCTTTTCATTTCCATCTCTTTGCCATTTAGTTTAAAAGCCCTGATAAAGCTTAATATTAGATTTTCTGTGATTTGAAGCTCCATCTGTTCTGTACAGTAACACTTATAGTATGTTTAACCAGTGAGATGCCAGTTCATAGCTCACACATTCAATTTGATTTATTTTCTGGAAATGTTGAAGTTGTCTTGTATTTTTCCTCAAGCTTCACAGCAAGACTTAAAAATCTAAACATTCATAAAAGTACTACAATTAAGATACATCTGTTCATGATATGTAAAAGCATCATAAATATACATATAGTCAAAGATAATAAGCACAGATGGCCAGACTTTAATTAATTACTACCAACCTGTTCAGATGTTATTCGATTGATATTAAGTACTGAAGAATCATCGCACAAGTGAAATGTCGAACAACAAACACTTTTTTAAAGACCTTAAAGTGGAATTACAGTGTCAAAACAGTGAAAAACTCCAGAGCAGTGTGGTAAGCCCTTCTCAGTGCAGAGATGCAAATCATATCAGGGCTCAAAATACTGGCAGCATATGAATCAATGATATCATAGTGCAGGTATGATTGGAGCTGTGTAGGTATTTCCGATGTCTACCTGCACTTAACCTGCACTGGTCTGTGTACTGAGTGTATGCAGGTTAGTGCAGGTAAAATTGGAGCTGTGTAGGTATTTCTGATGTCTACCTGCCCCTAACCTGCACTGGTCCATGTACTGAGTTTATGTATCATAGGTGTATTCTGACTCTGAGTTTTATTTGATGCATTGATTGTTACCACCTATGAAGTATAGAGAAATAATGGCGAAGGTTTTTGAATGTTTTTTAGTATGATCCATACTTCTCAAAGAGTGGTGAACGTAAAATTTGTCAGGTGCAAGTAATCTTTAGCCTGAGCGTCAGCCTTTTTAGCTTTTGTCAGCTCTCCACGGTTTCCTACCGGACACTCAGGCTAGGTAATTTTCAGATTATGCATCGCCAGTGCAGGTATGCCAAAAAAAGTATTTTGAGCCCTGTATATTGATTTTGTATGAGACGCGGCCTTTCCTCCATCCCTCATGTATCATCCATGACCTGAGTGAGGAGAACATGGGAGGAAGTTCCCCCGAGATTCACACAAAGATGCAGAGATCTGGCTCTAATGAACAGCAGCTGCCCAGGATTACTGCTCAGTCCCCGAGAGTGTTAGTCTGTGTGTTGTGGTGCTTAGCAGCATTTCATGGGGATATCTTAGCGATGGGGATTGTTGGAGAGAATCATAATGTCAGCTTGGAGAAAAGTTTGGAAGTGATCTACTGTTTTAGACAGCCCAGAGACGAGTAAAGTGGAGAACTATGATTTGTGGCCTATGCTCCAGAAGGTGCGAAGGGCCTTAGTAAAGATGAAAGAAAAGATCTACTCTTTTGGGATCCCTATTTTGGAAACATGTTTGTCCAAGATTTAATGAGAATCTCATTCAGTTTCAGTTTATTTATTTCACCAGCAGCTACGCTCAGGTACATAAAAACCTGCAGTCTGTAAAAAAAATTCAGGACTTGAACAGAGTTCAAGACTTGAACTCAGCCCAAGAAAAAATACATAAGAAACCCTGCTGGCAAAGGAAGAGAAAAAAGTTCTCAGAAAATGATGTAATCACTAAAGATTACTGTTACAGTAGAAGGTTGCTACTTAATACATTGAAGACTACATCAATGAATAACATGCTAAACCAACACCCTTACCTTCTGTACCTTTTCTATTTTCCCTGCATACCTGACCTCCCACAGGGATTTGGACTATTAGATTCCTAGCTCAGCAAAATAAGAGGTGCGTAATGCCCCCATGTGTAAGATCATTCCATGTTCAGTAGCATAGATGTTAGAGTGATGTGTCATGTGTAAAGAAAGAGTTGACAACTCTATCGCTTTAACATCAAGGAGATTTTTCTTTTGTCTGCATGTCCTTTTGGTTTGATGTGTTGAGTAGGAGAAAAATGAAGTGTAGAGAAGTTCCAGTCAGATAAGACCTATTCTTAGGAGAACACGATGGAATGCTTTGCAAAGTTCAAGGTCACGGATTGATCCACCTTCTGGTGTTGGAGATATCTGACTGCAGAAAATCTGCTTGACTTGCTCTCTGTGATCTTTTGTGGCTGTGTTCTGTATGTGTGCTCTATCATGGGTAACTTCTGGTAGTACATGTACATGTATATGGTAACAATGGAGCTGGATGTTGTATGTTGTAGAATCATCAGCTTTTTTCTTTTAATGCTATACTTGCTAACAAACAAAAATTAGCATACTGCACTGCGTTTTTTTCTTGGGGAAAATGCAACAACCAAACAACACTATCTATGAAGTCTCCATAAGTGACACTTCAATGAAGTATAAGAAGAAGTTCCCTTGATAAGTATTTAAAATGTTAATGCTGCCTTTGTTGGTCTTTCAGCTCTTTGCCAAGCCCCAAAGCCCACCTGGAAAGTTGTCTGGGAAATATGAGCAGTTGGAGGAAGATAAAACCGTCAACCTGCACAGGAATGAGCAAAACTACGGCTCGTAAAGTCAAACCTTTCAACATCTGGCTGTGTCAGAAAGTTCTCATAATTTTTTCCAAGTTGTAATCTAAGTTTTTGTTCTTTTCTACATCTTATAGATGTGTTTTTTTTAAGATCTATTGATTTGTATGGAAGATACATAAACAGAATTAGCTCTCTGAATGAGACCAAATATAAACTCTATGCAGCGCAGAATCTGTTATATTATTATGAAGAAAAGGAACACAAGTTTGTCTCAAGATGGGTGAGTGCAATGTATGTATCAGAATATAGATTTAGACATATTGCTAGGATGGACAAAGTTTGTACAAAGCTATTACTATTTGCTTGGAGAATTATTATGAAAATACTCCGTTTTCAATTTCACCAGTGGTGTATATGCATGTGAGATTGCTCTACCTTGTCTACAAAAGGTACTTATGGTTCCCAGACTCGTTTTTGCAGATTGTCATCCTAAGCTCAATTGCTTATAAGCAATTCTGGCTTCAATAATCAAAGGTAATGATGAAAACTATTTTTGTATGAAGTCCTGCAGGACTCATTATGACAAATAAAATGTGGAACGTCACAGCCTTTTGTTGTTTTGTGAGAACATTTTTCAAGTACCCATAGATTGACATCCTCTTTAAGAGCAGTTTAGATACTTTAACACATTGCTGTCTGTTTATCCAAATAGGCAATATATATAAGATAAGGATATTATTCAGTTCTTTTTTCCATGACAATGATTCCAGCTTCTATAATGAGAATTTAAGTCCAGCTCTTTTTTCGATGACAATGATTCCAACTTCTATAATGAGAATTTAAGTCCAGCTCTAAATCTACCGGAATCGACCTGAATCACTCGGCCTTCATGAGTTCATCAGCTTTCTGACCCAAGTGCTTGAGACACTTGATATTCCCCGATGGGAAAATTTCTTTGAGTGGGGGAACAGCTTAATTCTCTATCATAAGAGTTAATCTGTGTTAGTAGTTACATGAACCGCGACGGGGGCTGACATCGTCTACCAGATACCTTTGACCCAATGTTGACGTCACACTTCAAAGAAGCCACATGACAAGCTTCACTGGGTCAGTCTACTGAGGAAGACTAGAGTGACTGGTCGAAAGCTCTAGGTGGAGAATTTTTGTGTTGGATCTAAAGTTTTAACTCAACACAGCTTAATTCTCATAATTTTAATTTATCAACTCAGATGAACTTTTATGCTAGTATGATTCCAACTTGAATCGTCCTCCAGCCGTCAGAAAAGACTGACAGGCGGGGACCTTCGCTAATCAGTCCCACGGCCTCATGCATGTAATCTTCCGCTCAGTGTCCCAATATCCGCCCTTAATTGCTCACCAAATAACCCGGACACCTGTGATTACCCCTGCCCGATCTAATAGCCGCGGAAGGTGCCGTGTTCCCGTCCATTGCTGTCGGTAATCAGTCCCTCGTTAAGCTTCGGTCTGTCCGGGTCCGGCCCTCCTACTCCTCCGGCTCATCAATTCACTAGGAAGGCCGGCTGGCGCATGCGAGTCAACCTCGGATCCATCTCACTTGAATTGCGATTTCCTGTGCCGTGAATCACGTGTGGGCGTGCATACCCGACCGACCGTCTGCACGTATCACAATCGCTGCTGCCGCATCGGGGGAGGTGCATGGACAACATCACAGTCGGTACTCTCCAAGCAGACGTTTAGACTTGGCTCATTTTTACGCGTTTTTAGGCGTTTTTTTTTTATTTGTACTGGTATCTTTTTGTTTTTTGGTACTGCCCTGTCAATGATACTATCTTGCCAGTTTGATACCATTTGGTAACTGCAGCTACCAATTGCAAAAGATCTGCTTGGAGATGTACATTGCCGGCACAACTCTTCCATCTTGGCTGTGTTCTGACTGATGAGTTGTGGCGGGGTCTCCGTCGACAGTTTTATTCCGAGATTTCCGTTGACAGTTTTAGTCCGTGTTCCGCGACAGCACGGGTGATCGATGGTTCTCACATGAGCGTCTAGAGTGTCTGTGTCGTCTTCAAACTCGCAAGAGGCGGTGAAAGAAGTCCGCTAAAAGTCGGTGAGTGACCGTCTTCTTTCTCTTGTCTTCGCATATGGATCCACTTTGCGTGTTCGGAAAAACAACAACAGAAAAGCAGGGAAAGTTACATTTTGTACAAAACTCCTAGCATGGAATCCAGCAGTTCTGAAGGTTTAAATAGTAAGTAATGTTTTAAACTGTCATATTCTAACCTTGACTTTCCAGATTACTCTTGCGTGTAATCGCAATTACATGCTATGTTGAATCAGACCTAGGGTTACATATAAACCAAATACGCAATTGTACGTGACGCAGCAATGTTGTAACTTGTCTGTAAACGGAGTGTATTCAGTCACACAAAAGAATTCATGTTGAAATCACGATGCTGCAAGTGTTTCAATGTCACAAGCGAAGATCGAAACGTCCATCTTTGTGCAACTATACTTCGATCCACCCCATAATTAGGTTAGCGAGTGAACTGTGCTAAGCGAGTTTTCGACGAAAACGCCGGCGTTGATTGTCCTCTTGTTGCACCACGGCTGTCGTTGAATCCATTACCATGTTAAAGTACAGTTTCGTACACCGTATTTTGTTTGTGTAAAGTGTAGTGGATGGTTGATGAGTGACGCCGAGTGGCAGACGTCTACACTCATGAATCTGTAACATGTGGTTTGTTGAACAGACAAAACCATGCCGCAGGTTAAAAGTTAAAAAGGTACAAAACAAGCAGGATTCACACTATTATCTTATAGATTAAGACTATCCCCATCTTCCCCACAACAACTGCTTAGACTAAGAAAATACATGAACATTAGGAAGACACCCGCACATCGCAGTGGTTTTGTTACAGCTTATATAGTGTGGCCGCTTCGGTAATACTATAATTCTTCTTAGGCCTTGGTTCTGAACGTTTGATGGCATCTAGAGAATTATAGCTTTCGCTTTGATTCTTCAGATTTCTGTTGCAGGAATCCCCAGTGGCATGTTTTACGTATACTCCACAATGAAACCCGAGGTTGAAAAGCATTACGACGTTCTAAACCAATTACACGTATCCAAGCAAGGAGCTTCTATTTGAAGCTCCCTGGTGTATCTATCGGTAATTCAAAGTCATCAGGTTGTTAGGTGCTAAGCGTGCACGTGAGACACTGTTGCCAAAATAATTACCGACAAGATTATGTCGTTAATGATTTCACAGTCAACATGCCAAAGTTGGTCCCCTCCGTCGGGGCTATCAGATTCCTACATTATCACTTCCCTGCAGAAGCCGCCTTACCTGACACCCGGGCCGCCTAATTACCCCCATCAGGGCTTACGTGGATGAAGGATACTCCAGAGGCATCAGGGGTGGATGGCCTGTGTATGGGAGACATGACTAGGGTCTGCAGGCAAGATAAACATGTCGTACTGTGGACGACGTGCATTATATACGGTATCTGTGATGTTGAACCTTGCATCCGTGTGTACAGGATAGCAACAACAGATTGTAACAGACCAGGACGGCGAAGGAGATGGATGATAACACTGATGTGTCGGTGTGATATTGATGGGAAGTATGTAACCATCTGCTATGATAGAGTTTGTTTACTAGTATCAAAAGTTTTGGGGTCGCGTGGCCCAGAACCCAGACGTCCTCGGTTCGAATCCTGTCATGCCATCGATCTTGTGCCCTTGGGAAACACACTTTGCACGACTCAGGTGTAAAACTACTCTCCAAGCAGAGGTTGTGGGGAAATGATCGTTACCTTTTTATATATGGCCGGGTTTTTTTGTCTTGATCCCCACCGGTGGCCGCGGCGCTTCTCTGGCTAATGGATACTGCCTGGCCAATTTGATACTGTCTTTTTGCCACCGAGAGGGATCTGCTTGGAGATTAGTGTAAAACGGGTACCTGACTTCGGTTGGCGGTGGAAGGAGGGGGTTGGACTCCGCCCTCCAATACCGTGCCCTTGACACAGTGGATAACAATACACTGCCCCTATGGCCTTAAAAAGGCTATGGGACTATACCTTTACCTGCCTTTGACACAAAGCAACAGTTTCTCCAGCGTACACTCTCCGGTCATTATTTAATTCTGACAGAAATGTCAGCCAGGACCGTGCGGTACATAAGGGCAGGTCTATGGGGAGTAATTTATTGCCTCTGTGATCCCGCGCGATAATTTCCAATTAACTTTCCCCCCGACCGTCCCCAGGGCTCCGGCTGACTCACACGCCCTGGGAGGGATCAGGCGGGGAGATAAGATATGTTCGAAATGATGAATAAGATCATTTGTTAGAGATTGATAGTGTCATTGGGTGGCAGTAATAGAAACTGTAACATCAGACAACAGTGTTTTTATGTAGTTGTAACGATGTTCTGAGCCAGAGACATGGCATTTTCATATCCAGAAGACACCATGGATTTAGCAAAATTGACAGAATGTAAAACGCAAACTTTGAGAGTGTGGGAGCAAAATTATCGAAATTCACAGTGCGTAACGAAAGAGCTGTTACACTAACCGTTAGATAACGACGCCTTGAATAGAAATAGAGGTTCCTCGTCGTAGTGTAAACTAGAAATTTGTTTATGCAACTTTCGCGTAGCGTTGCTATGTACATGTTCTTCTTTGACTTTCGCCCTGAACTTTTAAGTCCAACCATGAATATTGGTTCTCTTACAGGCAAATAAATCATAAGCAATGGAGTATATGCTTATTTTCTGACACGTTGGGTGGAGAGCTTCATTCGCCTTTATGGACTTATTTGTTTTGACTTGTAGCTTCTCTGTGTGGATCAAAGAGACTTGTCCTGCTGAGTAGGTCGTAAGGTCGGGCTAATGTGAAAAAATGGCTCTGAAAGACATCAAGGAAGGAGCAGCGAGTTGTGCTTAATGCATCTTAATATGATGTACGGTCAGTCTTCAAAGTACGGCCTGCGTTTTCTTGGAAAATGGACGACACGGTGGTGTAATGTGTGAATCTGTAGCTCAAGGCTGATGCTCTTTCTTATAAGATGGCTTCTATTTCCAGTATGTATGGATTGTTGAGGTACTTGTATCCGATTCTTCGGAAGGCCGGATGTGCGGGATTTGGGTGTAATACGTGTTTTGCCGCAGTAGGACAACATCTGACGTGAAGCTTGCTGATCCAGTCTACGATGATATCAGGTATTTGCTTTCGTTTCATCTCAGTGGACAATGGCATTGTAAAACGACTACAATGATACGTATTACACCTGTCAATTTGCCGATTTGCAAACACCATTAGATGCCTTGTGGTTTTCCGCAGATTTCCGCATACCCAACCAACGTTAGGGGTTGCACCGTTTGCCTGACTGACTGATGATGCATTCTTTTATGAACTCCAACGTTATCAGAAAACCGGCTTAGCTAGCATGTCCGTAGATAGCTCAGTGCCTTTATTTCTTACGCACTGAATCAGTCCAAAGCTCTCTGAATGCTTCCAAGATTCCCTCTTGAACCTCCCTGACCAATATGTAAGTGCATCTGCAATGTGCAAAACGCCTGGCAATCAGCAAAAAAACAACAATGATCACTCTTAGTCTCAACTTA